AGTTTTGCTCTGATCTTAGTTATTTCTTGTCTTCCGCTAGCTTTTGAGTTTCTTTGATCTTGCTCCTCTAGCTCTTTCAATTCTGATGATAGGGTGTTGATTTTTTATCTTTCCTTGCTTCTCTGGTGGGCATTTATTGCTATAAATTTCCTTCTAAGCACTGCTTTAAATGTGTCCCAGAGATTCTGGGTCATTGTGTCTTCATTCTCATTGGTTTCAAAGAACATCTTTATTTCTGCCTTCTTTTCATTGTTTATCCAGCTGACATTCAGGAGCAGGTTGTTCAGTTTCCATGAAGTTATGCGGTTCTGAGTTAGTTTCTTAATTTTGAGTTCTAATTTATTTGCCCTGTGGTCTGAGAGACTGTTTATTATGATTTCCATTCTTTTGCATTTGCTGAGGAGTGATTTACTTCCAATTATGTGGCCAATTTTAGAGTAGGGGCAATGCGGTGCTGAGAAGAATGTATATTCTGTGGATTTGGGGTGGAGAGTCCTGTAGATGTCTATTAGGTCCACTTGGTCCAGATTTGAGTTCAAGCCCTGGATATCCTTTTTAATTTTTTGTCTTGTTGATCTGTCTAACATTGACAGTGGAGTGCTAAAGTCTCCCACTATTATTGTGTGGGAGTCTAAGTCTCTTTGTAGGTCATTAAGAACTTGCTTTATATATCTGAGTGCTCCTGTATTGGGTGCATATATATTTAGGATCATTAGCTCTTCTTGATGCATTGATCCTTTTACCATTATGTAATTCCCTTCTTGGTCTCTTTTGATCTTTGTTGGTTTAAAGTCAGTTTTATCAGAGACTGGGATTGCAACTCCTGCTTTTTTTGGCTCTCCATTTGCTTGACAAATCTTCCTTCATCCACTTATTTTGAGCGTATGTGTGTCTTTGCACATGAAATGGGTTTCCTGAATATAGCACACCGGTGGGTCTTGACTTTTTATCCAATTTGCCAGTCTGTGTCTTTTGATTGGGGAATTTAGCCCATTTACATTTAAGGTTAATATTGTTATGTGTGAATTTGATACTGCCATTTTGATGCTGGCTGGATGTTTTGCTGCATTTTCTTCATTGTGTCAATGGTCTTTACCATTTGGTATGTTTTTGGAGTGGCTGGTACTGGTTGTTCCTTTTCTTTTTTAGTGCTTCTTTCAGGAGCTCTTGGAAGGCAGGCCTAGTGTTGACAAAATCTCTCAGCAATTGCTTGTCTGTAAAGGATTTTATTTTTCCTTTGCTTGTGAAGCTTAGTTTGGCTGGATATGAAATTCTAGGTTGAAAGTTCTTTTCTTTAAGGATGTTAAATATTGGCCCCCACTGTCTTCTGGCTTGTAGGGCTTCTGCTGAGAGATCCACTGTGAGTCTGATGGGCTTCCCTTTGTGTGTAACCCAATCTTTCTCTCTTGCTTCCCTTAGCATTTTTTCCTTCGTTTCAACCCTGGTGAATCTGACGATTATGTACCTTGGGGTTGCTCTTCTTGAGGAATATCTTTGTGGTGTTATCTGTATTTCCCGGACTTGAATGTTGGCCTGCCTTGCTAGATTGGGGAAGTTCTCCTGGATAATATCCTGAAGAGTGTTTTCCAGCTTGGATTCATTCTCTCGCTCACATTCAGGTACATCTATCAAACATAGATTAGGTCTTTTCACACAATCCCGCATTTCTTGCAGGCTTTGTTCATTTCTTTTCACTCTTTTTCTCTATTCTTGCCTTCTCATTTTATTTCATTGAGTTGATATTCTGTCTCTGATATCCTTTCTTCTGCTTGGTCGATTTGGCTATTGAAACTTGTATATGCTTTGCTAAGTTCTCATGCTGTGTTTTTCAGCTCCATCAAGTCATTTATATTCTTCTCTAAGCTGTTTATTCTAGTTAGCATTCTCAGCTAACCCTTTCTCTAGTCCCTTAGTTTCTTTGCTTTGGGTTAGCATGTGTTCTTTCCAGCTCTGAAAAGTTTGTTATTACCCACCTTCTGAAGCCTGTTTCTTTCAGTTCATCAGATTCATTCTCCATCTATCTTTGATCCCTAGCTGGTGAGGAGTTGTGATCCCTTGGAGGAGGAGAGGCATTCTGGTTTTTGGTGTTTTCATCCTTTTTGTGCTGGTTTCCTCCTGTCTTAGTGGCTTTATCTACCTGTGATCTTTGTAGTTGGTGACTTTTGGATGGGGTCTCTGAGTGGACATCCTTTTTGTTGATGTTGAAGGTATTTCTTTCTGTTTCTTAGTTTTCCTTCTAACAGTCAGGCCCCTCTGCTGCAGGACTGCTAGAGGTCCACTCCAGACCCTGCTTGCCTGGGGATCACCCATGGGGGCTGCAGAACAGTAAGGGTTGCTGCTGGTTTTTTCTTCTGTTATATTCATCCCAGAAGGGTACCTGCCAGATGCTGGCCTGAGCTCTCTTTTATGAGGTGTCTCTTTAGGGGTATGAGGGTCGGGGAGGTGCTTGAGGAGATGGTCTGTCCCTTATAGGAGCTCAAGTGCTGTGCTGGGAGCTCCGTTGTTCTGTGCAGAGCTGCTGGGCAGGTACCTTTGCGTCTGCTGCAGAAGAACTCATAACCACCTCTTTTCTCAGATGCTCTGACCTAGGAAGGTCAGCTTTATTTATATGTGCCTGACATGCTGCTGCCTTTTTACAGAGATGCCCTGCCCCACACAGAGTAGTCTAGTCACAGTCTGCCAGCAGAGGTGTTGCTGAGCTGCCACAGACCCTGCCCAGTTGCTGTGTGAACTGCTTTGGTATTGGTGGACTGCCTCAGTAGTGGCAGATACCCATCCCCCTCACTGAGCTGGACCGTCCTGGGTCCAGCTGTCCTTGCTGCAAAACTCTCAATCCAGAGTTTTTCAGATTGCTTGTTTTGTGGGGGTGGTACCCACCTAGACAGATCACCTGGCTCCCTGTCTCAGCCCCCTCCCTTTGAGTTGAATGGGTGGCTCTGTCTTCCAGGCATTCCAGGCACCAGTTGAAATGGCCGGCTGCCCAGATTTGTGTGAGTTTCTGTGCACCAACCTGCTGCACCAGCTGTGCTGAAAACTCATGGCACTTTTTGGCCTGGGAATCTCCTGGCCTGTGCTCAGTGCAAACTTGTTTGGAAACATGGTGAGCACTCACCCTCTGCATTGTTCTTGCTGGGAACTGAACTCTGGAGCTGTTCCTATTCGGCTATCTTAGATCCTCCCCTGACACTGTTCTTATCTTCAAAAGTCTAATTGTCTAGGGGAAGAGACACCAACACATAACGGACCTCATAGTCTTTAGGTACAGTAATTGGAATATAAGCTTGTGTTTTCTATATATATCAAGAAGAGAAACACAGTATAGGTTGGGGATGTGAGAATGGCCTTAGGATGGAAGTCATGTCCAAGCTGAATATTAACAAAAGAATTGGTTTTAGACAGGTGATGCTATGTATTTGACATCTAATAAGTTGCAGCAGTAGGATGCTTTGAGTTATTGAGAGTAATACAAAATATTTGCTGCCCCTTTTCAACTAACAAGTTCAGCTGAACCACTGAAATATTAGGGCTGACTGAAGGCAAAACTGTGATTGGTAGTTCAACCTTATCTTTAGTACCATCCTAAGCAGATTTTCTAATTCCATTACCTTTTTTTTTTTTTTTTTGAGACTGTCCCACTCTGTCACCAGGCTGTAGTGCAGTGGCGTGACCTTGGCTCATGGCAACTTCTGCATCCCGGGTTAAAGTGATTCTGCCTCAGCCTTCTGAGTGCTGGGATTACAGGCATGCACCACCACGCCTGGCTACTTTTGTATTTTAGTAGAGGTGGGTGTTCACCATATTGGCCAGGCTGGTCTTGAAGTCCTGACCTTGTGATCTGCCTGCCTCAGCCTCCCAAAGTGCTGGGATTATAGGTGTGAGCTACCACCCCCGGCTAAGGATTCCCTCCCGCCCCTTTTTTTTTGGAGAAGGAGTCTCGCCTGTTGCGCAAGCTGGAGTACAGTGGTGTGATCTCTGCTCACTGCAACGTCTGACTCCCAGGTTCAAGTGATTCTCCTGCCTTAGATTCCCGAGTAGCTGGAATTACAGGCATATGCCTACAGGCCTGGCTAATTTTTGTATTTTTAGTAGAGACAGGGTTTCATCATATTGACCAGGCTGATCTTGAACTCCTGATCTCATGATCTGCCCACCTTGGCCTCCCAAAGTGCTAGGATTACAGGTGTGAGCCAACACCCATCGCTCATTTCCCCATTTTTTTTAGGCTCTTCTACTTACCCTGAAGCATAGTGTTTTCCACTTGTCCAAGGGGGCTTTCCAGGAGAGTCCCTTGGTCTTTCAGGTAGGAGCTTTCTTCCTCTTTTAGGCTACAGCAACATTTAAACATTTGTAGCTACAACTATTTTATTGAATGATTTGCATTTGGTAGGATATAAATATAAAGGAGCTTGATTTTTCCCCACCATGCCTATTGTAAACACTTTCTGATATGTAATTTATTCCACCTATGGATACTATCTTGGGCTGGTACCTTTTATAACCATTTTTATTTTTAATATGTGACCTCCTTATCCAGGCCATTAGGAATTCTAGTACATTTGTTTCTCAGTAGACATGAGGGATTGGTTCCAGGACCTCCTGTGGATACCATAATCCACAAGCTCAAGTTCCTTATGTAGAATGGTGTAGTATTTTCATATCACCCACACTTTATTGCACATCCGTCATTATACTTTATTTTTTATTTTTTTAGAGACAGGGTCTGTTGCTAGGGCTGGGGCGCAGTGGCACAATCATAGCTCACTGTAACCTCCTCCCACATACTTTAAATCATCCCTAGGTTATGTATATACAAATGCAATGTAAATAGCTGTTATACTGTATTATTTAGGGAATGGTGACAAGAAAAAAAATCTATACATGTTCAGTAAAGATACATTTTTTCCCCCCAAATATTTTCAATCTGAGGTTGGTTGAATCCATGGATATGGGACCCATAGATAACTGAAGGCTGACTGTATAGTCTAAAACTAAAATTTTAATTTTTTTATCCAAATTAAAACTCATTCCTCCAAACTGGATCTGATTTAGGCTTGATCTGCTTGTTTCCCTCTGACCTTTCATTTCTCTTTTCCTCCATTAGTCTGCTGACTCTGGTTATTCTAGGTTTGGGGTGGGAAAGAAGTAAAGGCAGAAAGTCTTTTTCTTGACTTAGATATTGTTACCTTATAGGCTTAACAGTAGTCTAAATGTCTTTTTCATGACATATTTTCTTTTTTTGAGGTGGGCTCTCCAAACTGTAGATTTTCTGATGTGGGCAATGCTTCACTGGCTGACTCCATATGACTTCTTTTAACCCTGGATTTGGGTAACCTACTCTGTATAGACTTACTTTTGAAATGGCCTTACTTTTCCAAGTAGCACTTTTGGGTAGGATTCCTTTTAAGACAGCACAAGAAGGTTACTTCTCATAGGGTCTAACTAGGTCAAATGTGGGTATTCTATATTTGTTCTGTTATGGGTGGGAGTTTAGTTTGCTGCTGCTATAGCCCATCTCCTTTTACTCTTTCTCAGAGTCGTCTCTTTCACAGTCTTTACATTTTTTTCCAGGTACAAATCAAGGACAGTCAAGGTGTCCTTCAAATGTCAGGGGACAGGGTCAAGCCCTCTAAGTGGTTCTTTTGATGTGACCCTCACTTCACTTAGCAGGACTGTGTACTAACAACTCTGTAAATCTAACTTCCAGCCTCCCCTTGTACACTGTTGATGAGGATGATGAATTAAGGATTGTGAAACTGAATTTACAATCTCTAAAGTGTGCCTTAGTGTACACAGTGATGTGTCACCAAACATGCAGGACAACAGGCATATTGTATCTTTTTTAAAGAAGTGATAGATAACTATGTTCACAAACAATCGATTTGATTCATATGTTTTAGCAAAATTGTTTGGCTAGAGACTGCACACCAAAGTAAAAACCTTTCTGGAAATAGATACTAAGATTTTTAAGTGTTATTTTTACTGTATGTTGGGGCCAACTTGCTCCCATGGAACACATTTCTGAAACTAGAAGCCATCAAAATATGATTAGATACATGAGGAGTTTTGCTTGTACAAAAGGACTGTGATGACTATGAATAAAAGTCAGTTTGTGTTAAAAGACGAGGATTATTCTTCCAATTGCCTAGAGAGTTACTGAGTTATTTTAAAAAAAAACCTATTCATGAGCTCTGGATAATTCTCATTGCACAGAAGACATGCTTCACTGGCTGACTCCATATGACTTCTTTTAACCCTGGATTTGGGTAACCTACTCTGTATAGACTTACTTTTTTTTTTTTTTTCTTTTTTTACATATTTCACGTCCATGTTGCGAAGGCTGTAGATGAGAGGGTTTAAGACAGGTGTTACCACAGAATATATCAGTGTGATAACCTTATGCATAGCAACTGAGTTGCCAGATGTGGGACTCACATACATCACCATTATGGTTCCATAGAACAGAGACACCACAACCAAGTGCGATCCACAGGTAGAGAAGGCCTTTTGCCATCCAGCTGAAGAAGGAATCTGAAGCACAGTTCTGAGTACTAAGGCATAGGACCCAAGGATGTACACCATGGTGAGGATGATGAAAAGAGAGCTCACAGAATGGAACACATGCTCTATGATGTAAGTAGGGGCACAGGACAATGCCATCAGTGGGTCCACATCACACAGAAAATGATCAATGATGTTGGGACCGCAGAAAGGTAGTTGAGAAATGAGGAAAATGGAAATTGAATGTCCAAGGAAACCAATGAGCCAACAAAGAGATACCAAAATGGCACAGAGCTGACCAGTCATGATGGAGGGATAGTGAAGAGGGTGGCAGATGGCCAGGTACTGATCATAAGCCATGACACAGAGGAAGAAGCATTCAGTTGTGCCCAGGCAAAAGAAGAAGTAGAACTGAGTGAAGCATCCAGAGAAGGATATGGTCTTGGTTTTGGAAAAAAAATTTAGCAGCATGTTGGGGACTGTGCAGGTCACATACCAGATCTCTAGGAAGGAGAAGTTGGCCAGGAGTATGTACATAGGTGTATGGAGCCGGTGATCCCACCTCACTGCACAGATGATGGCCATATTCCCAGTCGGAGTCAAGATGTAGACCAACAAAATCATTGAGAAAAAGATGATCTGGGCCGGGCGCGGTGGCTCATGCCTGTAATCCCAGCACTTTGGGAGGCCGAGGCAGGTGGATCATGAGGTCAAGAGATCGAGACCATCCTGGTCAACATGGCGAAACCCCGTCTCTACTAAAAATACAAAAATTCAGCTGGGCATGGTGGCGTGTGCCTGTAATCCCAGCTACTCAGGAGACTGAGGCAGGAGAATTGCCTGAACCCAGGAGGCGGAGGTTGCGGTGAGCCGAGCCTGGGTAACAAGAGCGAAACTCCGTCTCAAGAAAAATAAAAAAAAATAAAATAAAATAAAATAAAATAAAATATAAAAAAGAAAAAGATGATCTGAATTTTCCAGGGACCAGGAAAGCCCAACAAGACAAGCTGTGCCACAGTAGATATCTGTGAGTTATTCATGGTTCCCCCAGACTGTGGAGAGAACACAGATAGGCAATGACAATTTACTTTGCTGATAAGGCATCTTGAAGCTTTTTTGGGGGGATAAGGAGTTTGACTCTTTCAGGTGAATATATTAGATATTCTAAAAAAAATTCCTAAGCAAATCCTGATTTATCTTTCTCGAATAAGTCCTTTGGCTCTGATTCTTGTAAACTCCAGGCTGTTTGAATTTTCTGTGGCAATGGACAAAAATAAACATTTCATCTTCTTTTGATATAAAAAAAAGTCTTGAAATAGAGGCAAAAATGGTTTGTTTTATATCTAATTTGTTTTTCAGTAAAAGATATTCATATATAGCAATTACTTAGTGCTCTTCACTTCAAAATATGAAGACACATGCCATCGTTTTAAATATATTCAAATCTGAGACTTTTGACAGCTTTGAGTGGTTTGTGATTTGACATTATTTCATATAATTTCTTTCTGGAGCTATTTTTAGTTTAGGAGTATTTATTTTCTTCCAACTTTTCTTTTTAGTGATACCAAGAGAAAATCAACCAGGATATTTAGATGATAAAATTCTTTATATATTTTGCGTTTTCCTAGTTAGAGACATTTATATTGTACTATGGCTTATTTACAATTTGGTATTTAATCATTTACTTTTAGCAATAAAATGTCAAAATTATTCATTTCCTGGTGATTAATTTTACATTATAATTTATCATGCTCCATATGCATTTAAAAATAAATATTTCATTAAAGATAACATATAAGATATTTTAGAGAATAAAACTGCAGTTACTGAGATATTTTCTTCTAAAGTTCCTCTTATTTTTCTAGAATTTTCTCAAAAATTCACTATTTAGAAGATCTTTCTTTAGTATATGTAAAAAAAAATAGCCTCCAAATATTCAAAAAAAGATATAAGAGAATCAAAGGTGTTATTTCAAAAATAATTATTTGCTCATTTTCCAAAATTTGGTTTGTTTTCTTTAGAACACCACCACCAAATAAGACATATTTTCAAGAATCAAATAGAACTCCAAGGAAAGAGTAAATGATAGCTTAAACATAGGGCACTCTTCAGAAAAATTTTAACAAGATATCTTTAACTTTTTTGATTGATAAGAAGATAATTTGCCTTAGATTTGTTTCAAAAGTCGCACATATATAGTATTTGATAGAAGTGATATATGCATTTTATATGTAAATATATATATCCACACAATATATGTGTGTATATATGCATATATATAGTATTATTTATAGTACTCACTGAACATAATCAAATAGAAAAAAACCCCCCTATTCAGTGAGGTTATATTAAATAAGAAACACATTTATTTTTTTTTTTTTAGACGGAGTTTCACTGTTGTTACCCAGGCTGGAGTGCAATGGCGCGATCTCGGCTCACCGCAACCTCCGCGTCCTGGCTTCAGGCAATTCTCCTGCCTCAGCCTCCTGAGTAGCTGGGATTACAGGCATGCGCCACCATGCCCAGCTGCTTTTTTGTATTTTTTAGTAGAGACGGGGTTTCACCATGTTGACCAGGATGGTCTCGATCTCTTGACCTCGTGATCCACCCGCCTCGGCCTCCCAAAGTACTGGGATTACAGGCGTGAGCCACCGCGCCTGGCTGGATATGAAATTCTGGGTTGAAAATTCTTTAAGAATATTGAATATTGGCTCCCACTCTTCTGGCTTGTAGGGTTTCTGCTGAGGGATCCACTGTGAGTCTGNTAGAGACGGGGTTTCACCATGTTGACCAGGATGGTCTCGATCTCTTGACCTCGTGATCCACCCGCCTCGGCCTCCCAAAGTGCTGGGATTACAGGCGTGAGCCACCGCGCCCGGCCAAGAAACACATTTATGATCATACAGCTGTTGCAGACCCCACAAGTTAGTAATGCACAAGGTGAACTATGAATCTACTATGTTAGAAGGAAACATAAACCTTTTCATAGAGCTGGTTTTGCAGAAGGTTGTAGTCTGGTGGACAAGAAGCCAAAAAGAAAGAAACTTCAAGATGGGGATCAGTGATTTTTAATTTTTAAACTAGGATGATTATGAAGAACTAAGCTAAACCTACATTGAGGGTCATTTTTGTACGACATCATGAAAGAATGGTTCCCCTCTATGGGTCCTCTCTGTATTCTCCTCCTTTCCAAGCAAGAAACCCCTCTCCTCAACAAGATGAGAAAGCAGTGATGCAGAGAACAGTCACTTGTCCTTGCAACAGAGAAGAAACAACATGATTTTGAACTCAGATTCACAGACTTTGACCCAAAATCAAAATGCACAAGTCTGAGCTGCTTCTTTAAGCTTAGACTACTTTCATTGACATTGAAAACAACAAACAAAAACCTTGTAGAAAAATTATCAGCCATAGGGAAAGCATGGTAAATAAATTTCACAGATAATTTCCAACATACTTGTAAGAAACAATTTCTAATATATTCATTACTAAACCTATGTGAGATCTTAGTCCTCCAAAGCATTGATTTGATTTTTATCCTTTCTTCTTTTTAAATATCACTTCTGAAGGTGCAGAGCAAGTAACAGAATGGACAGAGAGAGGAAAACTGAGAGAGAAGATTAAAAAAAATTCAGTTTTCTTTAGGTTTTAGTCCCAGTGGATAAAACTAGTTCCATACTATTAAGCTCAAAATCTCTACAAAAGTCATAGCATTCCTGGTGCCTCAGGCACTTCCTGAGAAGGGAAGAGCTGTGGATGACTAGTGCATTTGTTTTGGAAAGCGTGAATTGCATGGTGATCTAAACACTCTGAGGGATTTTTTTTTTTCCTTTTTTTTCTTTTGGTTTTTGAGCGGAAAGACAAAGCAATATTCTTTGATACTCAATCTCTGGAGCATGTGGAATGAACAAATGTATAGGCAAGTAGTCCATCTGTGGTGTATAACAGCAGCAACGCCCAACAAAGAAGACCTCTTCTACATATCAGCATACTAGGAGGCTTTCCTAGATCATCTTGTAGAGAGCCTGCAGGGGGGCCACAAGGACTCTCTCCTTCATTGGCTATCATATGGAAGTCCTGGGTGAGAGCTTTATCAGTGGCTTATTTCATTTTTCTTGTACCCTAAGATTCTAGTGGTTTGTTTCTCATTGAGGGTGTCGAAACTATGTGTTGGTCTTAATTTATGCCTCATTTGAGCCACTGTGGAGAATTCTCAGGTGTCCCTTCATGTTCCAGTGATTCTGTAACTTTCTGTGCTGTCTCTAGGGACCTTTATACATTTGCCTGGGGGTTTAATTGATATTTTTGTTAACATTTCCTACAGGGATTATTAAAAATAATGTGTTATATTTACTCTGAGGAAACACCATGGTCTTCTTAAGTTTGTGCTCAAACAGCATGTGGTTTTATGCTATGGAATAGGTAAAGCCCTAGATTAAATGTGTTCCTGTGGTGCCAATTTGACATGGAAACTGCTGGGTACAAATAAAAATATGTTTAGGGCATTGTTCCATATTATAAGTGATACTGGGGTTGTCACAGCTAATTTAGAGAGGAAGTGCTATGAGTAAAGATACCCATTTGAGACTAAATATGCCTGAGGACTGATCATCGTGAAGTGCAAGACTTGTACCGTGTATCACTAGAGAAAAAACCGAATGGGCCAGTCTATTGAGTGAAGGCTTTGAATGGCAGAGTTTGGTTTTCCTCTCTAAGGGATAGAGGTATGAAGCATAGAGGTTTAAAGCATATTCTGTTCTTGGTGTGAAAGACAATCTCAAACAATGAAAGACGTCTTTACTAGGTTTTTTCTGGTGGCCTGTTGACACACAAATATTCTTTAAGAATGTTTATTTTCTGGCCGGGCATGGTGGCTCATGCCTGTAATCCCAGCACTATGTGAGGCCAAGGCTGGTGTATCACTGAGGTCAGGAGTTTGAGATCGGCTTGGCCAACATGGTGAAACCCTGTCTGTACTAAAAATACAAAAATGACCCAGTCTCTACTAAAAATACAAAAATAAGCAGATGTGGTGGTGAGTACCTATAATTCCAGCTACTTGGGAGGCTGAGGCAAGAGGATTACTTGAACCTGGGAGGTGGAGTTTGCAGTGAGCTGAGACTGTGCCATTGCACTCCAGCCTGGGCAACAAGAGTGAAACTCCATTTCAGAAAAAAAACATTTTTCTGAATTGAAAAGATTTCACTTTTTTTTTTTTTGAGATGCAGTCTTGCTCTATCATGCAGGCTATGGTGCAGTGGCATGGTATCAGCTCACTGCAACCTTCGCCTCCCACGTTTGAGAAATTCTCATGCCTCAGCCTTTTCAGTAGCTAGGATTATAGGTGTGCACCATCAGTCCTGGCTTAGTTTTGTATTTTTAGTAGAGACAGGGTTTTATCATGTTGCCCAGGCTGGTCTTGAACTCCTGATCTTAGGTGATCCTTCAGTCTTGGCCTCCCAAAGTGCTAGGATTATAGGCATGAGCCACTGTGCCTAGCCAGATCTCATGTTTTTGAAAGGCTTGGGTACATATGCAACTGATTTCTTCTGTCAGCTAAGATTAAAACTAGCAAAGATACATCACAGAAAAATAATATATGTATATATGCACCCACCCACCACATAACTACTCAGTGAGGCCACATATGTTTAAAATGTTTTATTGAGCATTGGCATTTATAATTCATGAGCTGAACTTGAACTGCTAAGAAACTGTGAAAGATAAGTCTGTCTACCTGAGGGTGGGCCAGAACATACTACTAAAGCTACTCTCTACAGTTATAAAAAGTTAAAATCAGAGGCGACCAATTTGGCGCCTTTTTCAAAGATATCTCAGTTTTGGATAACAGTTAACTGCAGGACTCTCTTCAGAGCATCTTTCATGTCTTTGTTCCGGAGACTGTAGATAAGGGGGTTTAAGAGTGGAATCATTGCTGAGTATACCAGAGTGATGATCTTCTGCATTCCTGCTGAATTCCCTGATGTTGGGCTCACATACATCACCATAAGTGTTCCATAGAATAGAGACACCACCATTGGGGGGACCACATGTGGGGAAAGCTTTAGTTCGACCAGCAGCAGAGGGAATACGAAGCACAGCTCTGATGACCAGAGTGTAAAACCCCATGATGGAGAGGAAGGACCCAAAGATAATCATCGAGTTGAAGGTGTAACAGATAAGCTCGGTGGAAGGAGCAGAGATGCAGGCCAGTGCAAACAATGGGCCTGGGTCACACACAAAACAGTCAATGATGTTCGGCCCACAGAAGAGAAGTTGGGAGATCAGAACAATGGGGATTGGATAGCAGAGAAATCCGCCTACCCAGCATACACAGACCAGAATCACACAGAACTTCCCAGT